GACAAAGGAAGTTACGCCACCAGCTAGTGAGGTCAAACCGCCCTAGCCCGCCCAGGTTATACCGCGTTAGGTAAACACTATTCCTTCTCTGGGTGTTTCATCTCTGAATCCGGAGATAGTGGCCTACCGGAGATAGCGAATCGCAGGAGATTTTGTGGTACTCATGTAATGGGGAGCAGAAGCATACCTTTTAGCTCCTCAGCCAAAACCTCACAGCCGGCCCCATCTCCATCAGCAAGCACAACTCTTACTTCCTTGTTGGCCACCATGCTTCGCTTATATACCTCTGTCCATTCCTCATCTGTAAGTTGGCTTTGTGGACTATCATGAAACTTGGAAACTAGCCCCAGCGCCGTCACCAACGCACACACAGCGTTGAACAGATTCTCTTCAAACCCACGTAGGCCGGGGACCCACGCCTATTAAGCAACACCTTTATGAAGTGGCCAAGGTTCCGAAGCCGCTTCTTTATTCGCCACATCTGTTTTTCTAGGGAGTACAGGTATATGTCGCAAAATATCTGTACCTTCAAAGCAAAAGCCACCCGCATGGGCATCTCTGGTGACTCCAGTTGGTACTCATGCTTGTCGGATACCCTCTGCTTCGCATACTCATTCGACAGGGTTTGCAAATTTCTCCAAACATTGCGGAGATGATTGAGTAGAGGCTTCTCAACTCTGTAGTTATCAGAGATCGTTAGACAAATTTCTTTTTTCTCAGAGTCCAGTTGAAGAGCCGCTGCGATGACCTGGTGCCTTTCCCGAGAAATAGATATATTGGCAATGGCATCCAGGATGGGAAAGGTGCGAACGTTTGTCGCATGGTTATCGACAATGACGTGTTTGAAGTTGAGTAATGAAGGGTGCATGCGACGAGAAGAACCGTCTTGCGTATTCGCAAACACGTGGCTCATCAGAGCCACCAGGTGGTGTGGATCGAGTTCGCTGGACATGGCCCTGAATCCACCAGCCAAGGGGCAAAACAGGATGTGGGGGCTTTTGCTCGAACTAGGTATCAAAAGTATTAGTACCGTATCGTATCAAAGCAAGCGAGCCTTTTAATTATACCCCTAGAAATACTATGAGAGCTCTTGCAATCCGCTATCTCCGGCGGCCCTTTAATCTCCGTATCCTGAGTCGAAAGCTCCTGGGAAGTATCGCAGTATTCACAACCGGGTATCAGGTCAGCCAATTAGGCGGGTTGGGTCTCGTTGGTTGATATTTACAGTTCTGTTGACCTGTTGAACGAGACCTTATAGTGGGCTGACGAGCTGATCCCCGCTGATAATCTGATAGCAGATTTCAGGAGTTTCGTGTGATAATGGCTGGGGTGGAAAGCCTAAGGGAGGAAAGGCTCGCAGACACAACGGTTTGGGGGGTTGCAGAGGTGGAGGGAAGAGAAGTGGCTCGAGACGGATAAAGACGTAGTTCAACGCTATGAACTGAACAGAGATGAGAAGGATAGAGAGGAGGCCGAGTGTGTGGTCAACGCCGCGAGAGAAGGAAGAGCGGATGGTCGAAGGTTGACAAGGAGGCAAACAAGCGCTATGCAGCCATGAATGCGGTACCGATACCCGCCTAGCGGCCTACCCTCTTTCCCCCTGATTAGTTGAAAGTCCAAGGTCAGTTCAAAGTCCAAGGTCAACGTGGCCTGAAGGATTGATTGATAAAATGGAGGGGAAATACCAAAGGGCCAACATCGATTTGGGGTGATTCCGGGATCCCGTTGCGCAGTGGCTCAGGTCTTGGGTCAATAATGGAGGCCTGGTCTTCTGTTCCGCTAGGGGCTCCACCCAGGTTCCAACTTGCGTCGAGAACCAGGGTAGGCGGTGTGGAGAGCTAAGGCCTGTACAGTATCATACTTTGTACTCGTACTCTTGGGATTATGGTGAATGGGCTCTACGGGGAGATGTTGGCTCTAGGCCGATGTATTGCAGGTTCCGGAGGTGGATTCGTATTAAGTCCGCCGGTCGAGCGAGAATTGTGAGCGATCACGGGGTATCACTCGGCTTCAAAAGAAAGCTACTTGTTGTAACTTGACTTTCAAATATGTATCAGTTGCATATTTCATTATGACAGAATTTCTGTCATTGTTACTGATATGAGTTCATCAATAGATGAACTCATTATATCATTGATTACGACAGATTTTCTTCGAACACTCTATCGTGCCACTACCTTGGTTATCACGGTCGCCTTTCCTTTCTCTTTACTGTTCTGCTATCTTGTATTGTTGTCATCAATCTTCTTTTACCCTTGCACAAGGTATATGTCATAGGTGATTGTATAGTTCTTGGACAAAAGTCATCGTTGGCGGGTCCAAGTACCGCCAAAACACACCAAAATAGTGTAAATTCAGGGCAACGAAAATCACAAATTGCATCATCATCTCTTGATCGATTCAAACAAAAAATATACCAATAGATAGCTGACAACCTACCGAGGTACAGCCCATAAATTTTGCACTTTCCGCTGGCGGGGATTGTTGCACTAGCAGTAGTAGCGTGGTGAATTCAGAAAATGTAGAATGGTGGATCTCGCGAAGTCCTTGTATTTTAGGCTTCAGCATACATGATTTATGACTTCACATACCACTACTTGTTAAAGAAAAGAAAAACCCCCTCCTACTACCCCTAACCTTTCCTAATATTCCACGCCGAACTGCGATTGCACCACTGCCTTGAACAAAGGCCAGTCCCTAACCATGTCTCCGCACATATAGGAAACATTCAGCGACGGCCATCTTTTTTTCTGAGCGTGCTCCTCATGAAATAATACCAAATCCACTGCGCTACTACAGCTAGTGCCACAATCCCTGCTAGCGTAAAGTGCTAAACTTATGGGCTGTACCTCCGTAGGGACTCTGAAATTCATATTTCTGTGACAAAGTCATTTGTTCTGTGAGCAGCTCTTAGTACTTGGTGTGGCCTATTCTAACACCTCGTCAATTATTCTATATGTTGGGCTTGGCGTGCAAGCAAGTTGTGAGGTGTTGAGGGCATCATAAGAGTTCATGAAGTTCGAGAATTTCGTCACTTACTTGGGGTTTTTTTCTAAATAAATAAAACCTAATAAATACTAAAAAAAAGGTCAAAACAAGTCATTACCAAAGCGAATCCTTGTTTCAAAAAAAAAAAAAAAAAAGTTCAAGCATACCTAATCGCAGACTAAGGAAGGATACCAGCTTTCATGTTCTATCCTCCGCTTGTGTGCCCGGCTGGCCATATACTTTTCGACAACAGACCAAGAGCAGAACGATACCTGTGTGTTTGTGTTGCAGCGGTTGGGTGCCAGCTATGGTGTCCTATCCCATCATACGAGTAGAGTCACCCTAGCGCGGTAATGACGCTCCAAGTTTAGTGTGCCGAGGGGGGGATCATGAGACTTTTGTATATGTACTTATGGCGTCAAATCCTATTCAGACGTTCCTGAGCCCTTTGCTTACTAGCTCTTCTCAGACTTTATACCACACAAGTCCGGACGAAAATTCTAGGCTCCTGTTGAGCTCTGATATATAGAGAAAGATTGGTACACCACTAAATAGCAAGTGAGTCCAAGAAAATGCTATGATAGGCAAATTTGACAAAAGATATGCTTACAAAAGCCATAACCCCCCTTCTGGTACTAACAACTCCCCAGTATCAACCCCAGCCACCACACTTACTCTCTAGACCCGAGTGATTTTCCATGAATAATCCCTTGGACAGACCACAAACCATACACACCCCCAGCCAAATCAGTCGAGCAGAGCACATCATGATACTTTCAAACCCATAACGCCCAGCTTCCAATAATTAGCTCTGCGTCCGTCACCTATCCAGTGAAACACCCGCACCATGAGAACACCCACACAATGCAAACCACAAAGACACCATCACAAACAATTCGCTAACCAATCCCACTCTCACCCACTCTCAAACAACTCCAAGTTCCCCCCCTCCTCCCACCTCCTCCGTACCGCCAAGAACCCCGGGGGTCAATAAAGCCGGTCACCTCACCGCAGTTGCAGACCGAGAATGTACATGTAATGAACATGGCTTCGAAGTTGACCCATTCCCACATCCTCTCTACACAACCACCCCACCCATATCATATAAGATGATGTATGATACTAGTACACAATGCCACACACAAAGAGAAAGAAAGAAAGAAAGAAAACCCTACTTTCAACGCTCAACACTGCTGAGCTCACGACAAAACTGATAGCGGACAAGGGGGGGGGACTTTCCACAGCTGGACTGGTACTCGAGTAGAGAGGATGGTTTGTCCATCCCTCTTAGCGACAGCTTCGCTCTGGGGCCTTCCCGTATTTCGAACCTCCCAGAGACACGCACGCCAGATGGCCGCCACGGCAGCTTCCCCGCATTATGCGAGGGCTATTCTACATCGTGATTATCTTCAAAGACCGGCTCGGTATGAACAGTGAGGGGTCTCGATAATTCTCTTGTTTATACCCCAGAGTTTCAGCCCCAAGTGGGCACCCAACAGGTGGATAGGGCCCAGTTTGGCACGCCACAAAAAAAACGGCGTATTTCTGCCTTTCAAGGTGTATTTATTTCCATGTAAATGTAAAAACAAACAGGGGTGTTTGGTAAGCACATCCATTCACCGCACACCTATATTGACCTCTGGATGCCTTTATTCCCCCTGGTGAAAGATATATTATATAGGGTTTGGGGTTAGAAGCATCAAAAGATAATGAAGGCACTGTTCGGTTGGTTGCTTTTGTGCCATAAAAGTAGTTTCCATGGCATAAATTTCCCCATAAAAAGGGTTGGGATGGAGGGGGTGTTCTGCATGGCCTAAAAATGTGCCATATTTTTAATGTTTGTCAATGGGAACAAGGTTCTATTTTCTTCGCAAAACATATGTTGCTTGCTACCTTCACGATCATAAAAAATATGATATTACGATCATAAAAATAACCAACCGAATAGGGCCTCAGAAAAACACTCGCCATAAATTAGGCCGTAGGAGAGTCCCACCAATCATATGATAATATTATCATACATAACATTTATATTGTGAGATACATGACATTTATATTGTGAGATGTGAAGGTTTAGGTCTTTATAAATAGTCTAGCCACCACCAATGTTGACCCTCCTGAACCCTGAAATGTTAAGTTGTTTTTTTGTTTTTTTGGGAGGGGGGTGCCAAAGAAATATTTATGGAAAATGACGTATTTTCATTTCTAGTTTTACAAACCGTTTCAAGGTAGGGGTGTTTTTTTATAGTGGTGTGCCAAACAGGGCCTAATATATGCAATGGAGTATTTATTGTACAGCGATATGCCGAATCAATCGCACTCTTCCCTTTACACACAGATTATTCTTCCCCACACATTGACAGAACACGATCAGCAAACACCACACTCTACGAGTGACAACTCATGACTGCCAGACTCATCAATATCATAAAACGTAGCACATATCCCACCACCATGAACGCAAACAGAACACAATTCCATAACCCCCACGCCAGCCAACCGTAAAGAGAAAAATAAAACAAATTAGCACTCTAAAACAACCCAAAGAAAAGTAAGTAGGAAGAAAGAAATAAAAAGCCCAAGATATACACGATAGGAGAAAATTATGGGGTCATAAAAAAAAACACATAAGCCACAACTTATCACATAATCCCAGAGAGTATCTCTTTTCCCAAAACTCCAATCTCCCGCTTTACCGCCCCACGACAAGCATCTTCAAATTCCCGAGTGACACCCGCGACGACAACACGACGCACTTTTCCGTCCGCCTTAAGGAACGCCTCGCCGACGCCATGGGCGCACGCAGCAGGAGTACTGACGAGGCTCAGCACACGGGAGTACGCGTCAATCAGAACATCGCAGAGAGTGGCAAAGGTCTCGTAGTAATCCGGCTCGAAAGGGAGAGGAGGAGTAGAGAGGTAGAGGTACTCCGACTCGGGTGTTACACTAGGGATGGGTGGAGGCATGAGTGGTGGAGGAGTATTTGTTGTACTTGGGATGAGCGGAGAAAGTGTATCAAGATCCATGGAAGCTGAGGGTGTAGTGGAAAGATTGTTTGATGAGGTTGAAACGGGCATGGCGCCCAAACTCATAGTTGAAAGATTGCTGCCGCTATGAGGTAGGCTTGGCATGCTAGGAACACTGGGTAATGAGGGTGCCGCTGGAAGGGCAGTGGATGATCCGGAGGCGGAGCGAGCACGTTCCGCAGCGGTAACATCCGAGTTTGAAGTAGATGGTGGAGTGATTGTGGACATTGTCGGAATAGACGTCGCCGCAGAAGATCCACGACGAGGCTTTGTTGAGGAGCGGGAGAAGAGCTTAGGCAGGCGAACGGACGGGAAAGTCGAGGTCGTGTGATGGGAGTGGTGGTTGGAGGATATCGATGAGCTGTGGGAACGGGTTGGTTGGCGGGAGGGCGGAAGTGCTATGTGAGTCTCGTATTCCTGGAGAAGATGGTTGAATGCTTTGAGGTAATCGAGAGGGGAAGAGGTTCCCAAGTCTAGGATTGAAGGAAGTGAGTTGCCGAGGATGAAATAATTGTTTGCTCTAAGAACCCGTTAGCCGACGGAAATAATGTGCGGTCACAAAGTTAAAAGAAAACCTTCGAGCCAATTTCTTGCCATCATGATATACCATCCTCTGTAAATCTGCCTTTGTGAACAAAACAGTGTTGAACCAGTAGACCCTCCCTTCATGCCTAACAAACAATGAGCCTAGCAATTTCTCGAGTGTTTTGTATCTCAATAACTCACGCTCTCCTCAAGTAATCCAACGTTGCAATCCGTTTCGTTGCGACCTCGTGAACAGTTTCATAGAGAGTATTGGGGCTCTGTGGGCCATTCCCCACACTCCCTCCAACAGCACCAATAGCCATACCACCGCCCAGTCCACCAGGTCCTGTAGTAACAAACTCCGGGCCTCTAGCACCAGATCGACCAAACATTCCCTTAGTAGTTGACGACGCAAGTCCCCCAGAATTCTGATGTTGTTGTATAGATTTAGAAGGACCGTATCTATTCTGTGAGCCAGCAGCTTCGGCCTCGGAAGGTCTCCGCTTCTTATTACTGGTAGATGTTGAACGGGACAAGGAAAAGTAACCACCAAGGGAGGAGGAAGTGGTTGTTGAAGCGTTTTCGTCTGGAGTTGACACGGACGTTGTGTGGGAAAAGAGCCCCTTGGTGATATAGGTGGGTGTGGAAGAGAGGGACGGCTTACGTTCGTGGTGCATCCTATGTATCATAACAATAATGGGGCAAGATGTATTAAGTCAGGGTATGATATGTGGTGGGCAAAGGGTTTGTGTTGTGTGTGTGCAAGACAATATGCACAACTGTTGCGGATCTGCGGGTGTTCCTTTCCTTTTTCTCCTCTTCTTTCCCTTTCTTCCTTCCTTTCCCCCTTGCAGGTGCGTTCCCACACCTAAATCGATCTTACCTCGTGTGAATAAGGGACAGAAACGGCAATAAGGAAATGTGGTGGAGTAACCGTGGACAGCAAAACCGACAGTGACCAATGCCAGGGGGAGAGAAGCGCGGAGTGGTGCAGAATTTGTGAGCAAAGTGCTAGGAGAACAGTGATATACGGTAAATAGCCACAAAACCAGTTGAATACAAGGGGAAAAAGAAAAGAAAAAAGGGATAACAAGTGAAAGCAACTGCAGGACAGTGGAGAAGGTGGAAAAGAAAAGGAAAGGGGGAGAGATGAATCGACGCCTGAACCCCCAGGGTTAGGGGATTTACAGTAAATCAGGCTGTTGGAGGTTTTAAAGAAATCTCCGGATGAGCCAAGAGACGCCTCTTTATTCGCCTTTCTTTTTCTAAGGCTGTTCAACTTGTAACCCATCGAACAATTTCGCATTCTCTCCATCTCCTCCCTCTCCTCGGTCCACAAACTCCTTTCCAGGGGAGAAACCCCTCTTTCTCCTTGTGGGCAGGGGTGAAGGAAACTCGATGAATTGAAGGAGTCACCCCTCACTTCACTCGAACTATTTTCCCCCTCGAAATCCGGCGCTTCCCCATTGAGAATCTTCCCCTCTCACTCGATTTTAGCCCCTCTTGGTGTTTTTTTTTGGGGGCGGCTGACCTCAAGCTTGACATTTACTCGAGTATGACTTATCCCCTTGCTACTGGATTCAGGGTCCATCGAGCTAAGCCTATTATGGGGTAAGACATATTTTTTACTTTTAATGTTGAAAATAGTGGGCCAGCTTCCCAACAACCTTTTTCCCTCGCACTTGCACTATACAATAATCTACCATCCTACTCCACATTGCGTCTCCACCGATTCCTTGACTCAATTCCCTCAGAAATGGCGGACTCACTACCAGAGCATCCTCCCAACACCCCAACCCCTATGAGCGATGATAGGATCTGGATAGATGGCTGTTTTGACTTTGCTCACCATGGTGATTCCTCCTGTTAGCCTCAGCTTTGTAAGCTAATCCGCGTGTGCTATTCAGGTCACGCTGGCGCAATGCTGCAGGCGAAGCAGCTCGGAAAATACCTTGTAGTCGGTGTCCACAGTGATGAAGAAATTCTTGAGAATAAGGGCCCTACGGTAATGAATCTTAAAGAACGGTTAAAAATTTTCAGCTACCAATATTCACTATTAAATAGTGCTGATCAACTCTAGAATGGCTGCTGTAACGGCATGCAAATGGACCGACCTCCCGGTCCCTGGCGCTCCATACGTCACATCACCGGAGTGGATGGACCTCTACGGTACCCGCTATGTGGTCCATGGTGACGACGTCACGACCGACAGTTCAGGTGAAGATTGCTACCGAATTGTTAAAGCCGCCGGCCGCTTCAAAGTTGTTAAGAGAACCCCAGGCATTTCTACAACCGACCTCGTTGGACGGATGTTGCTGTGCACAAAGACCCATCATATCCGAGATCTCGGAAAGCTGCTTTTGGACCAGACAAGCGAGGAGGGTAGGGAACTTTTGGAAAGGACAAAGATGTATGCCTCCGATTCATTTGGTGTTGTCGGCAAGGGCTCCACAGTGTACAACTTTGTTACCGAACAGCCAGGAGGCAGGTGTGTCCCGGTAGTGTCAGGCGTCGGTCCGAAGCCCGCACAGAGGGTTGTGTACGTTGATGGTGGCTTCGACCTTTTCTCCAGCGGGCATATCGAGTTTCTAAGGAGAGTCGTGGAGAGGGAGAAGGAAGAGGGACATGAAGACATTTATGTAGTAGCAGGAGTGCACGATGACCGAACAATCAATCAGTGGAAAGGATTGAATTATCCTATTATGAATATGTTTGAACGAGGACTTTGTGTACTACAGTGTAGGGTTTGTATCACCCTCCTCCTACTCATCGCAGATTCAGAAGCGCTGACCCGAGAATAGTACATTAACTCGGTCGTTCTTACGGCACCCTTCTCGCCAACTAAAGGGTTTTTGGAAACATTGCCCACGGGAGTGCCATCGGTAGTGTACCATGGACCCACCACTTTCATGCCCGGGGATGAAGACCCGTATGTTACCCCTCGCGATTCTTGGTCCACGTCTAACCACGAAATAGATACGAGGAAGCAAAGGAAATGGGCATATTTCAAGAAATCGGGAATCATGAGTTTGCTGGTGTTAACGCTGGTGAGATTATGGGAAGGATATTAAAGCAGCGTGAGCTGTACGAGGAGCGGCAGCGGCGGAAAGGTGTCAAGGCAGAGAACGAGGTACAAATGATCAATTAGCTGCACTCATGTACCGTGTTCAGGGGGTTGTTTTTTTTTTCTCTTGCGGTACGAGTCATCAAGTAGGATAAAAGTATTGATACCGGCCATTCATAGAGTCTATTCTACAGTTTCTACTTGTATTATACGAAAAAATACCCAAGTTACGACGCAAGGAGCAACAGAGGGAAGAAGTCTGCAACCCTTGATTGAGAATGACTTGGGCGCGAATACCTCCCGGTATTGAATCTATTGTTCTAAGTCTCAAAAGGTCTACCGGCAGCAGACTACCCCTACCAACGGAAAAAATATATTCAAGCATGTGAGATTACTACCGGTGTGGGAGGTTTTATGTTTATTCCCTTAGTTGGATGGTGTGTCGACCAATGCACCTTGTGGCTACTATTGCTCTGTGACTAGACCGATAAACCGATGGATAGAGGAAGGAAAGTTGATTTGGAATCCAATCGTAGTAAATAGACCGACAGATGAAGCAAAGGGGTTGAAGCTGAACCCAGTTTAGATAAAGGATTGATGTGATCTAAACTGATGTTGACGAGGGTTGGTTGAGCTTGACTAACTAAAAGTTGACCAGCTCCCAGTTTAAATACAAGAAAGTGTACGAGTACAGTACATGCCAAGGCATGCACAAAGACAGGAAACTCCATGGGGTAGGGGAACCCTTTTCAATACCAGCGTGTCACGGACATTCACTGTAGAATACCAGCTAACCTTTAACACCCCAATAGAGTAATAAATCTATTGTGGCAAATCCTACTTTCAGAATAACTCATGTAAATTCGATAAAAAAAACTTCCAAAAATTCAAGAGAGTAAACCAGAAACACTTCTAAATTTTAGAGTTTTTTTTAAAGATAAAAAATAATTAGGTAGATAGCCAGTGTTGCTTAAAATTTGGCAATAAATCTCCTTTTTAGGATAATGCTTGTGCCAAGCTGTGTTGAAACCCATACTTATTACCTAGTTTAGCACCTCAAGAAATCGCTTTTTTTCTCACAAATCACATTTTCTCTTCCTAATATGTCTCCAAGACTTCCCCCCAGAAAAGGAAAAATTCTAATAAATACATTCAATGCTGGTTTATTTTCCAAAAAAATATTTCGATTTTTTATGATTTTTTATGATTGTGTTTTCCTGCTTAGAAGTTGAAGAGTTATTTTCTTGGCCATGGGTGAATGAGGGACCGGGATGCGCTGGTATTGTGTAGGTTTTCTCCTACATATACTCGTCGTGTCGTGACGTTTGTGAAAAGGACCGGGCTTGCAAGGGGGTGCAGAGGGACGTGCACAAAGTCACAGAAGAGCTCGAAAAGGAATCAATTGAACATAAATGGCAACACAATAAGGATTATTTATTATACATTATAATTATTATAGAAATTAAAAATTAAAACTTAAAAATTAAAATTGTTTCCTCCTTCATCCTCAATACAAGTTGCGATCCGTTGAGACATAGAGTCAATATGATAATTAATCCTTTCCTGTGGGTAGTTGTTCCAAGCCTAGAATAGTATTAGATAAAAAATAATAATAACTGGATTTTCAATTTACCTCTTTAAGAGCAAAGCGAATCTGTCGCACAGTCATTCATAAACCAATTTTTTCATATAAAATGTTCTTTAACTCCATCCAGATTGTCTCATTTGGATTCAAATTTGGAGAGTTTGCAGGCCAAATGAGCTTTGTAAACCCAAGCTGTTCACAGGGGATATTGTGATAGTTGTGGACATGTGCTGGAGCATTGTCCTCTATTATTACAATATCCCTCTCCAGAAACTCTGCTTCTGCCTGGCTGGTAAATGGATAGAGAAGGAGGTTAAGAATTCGCTCATGGTAAATGTACCAGTTAATGCCCCCTTTTCTATCCAGTTTCCAGGTTTTCCATATAAGGTCCAAAAATGGGATTGGCAATTCCAAGGAGCTGGGATTTTGATTTTCTGCCAGCTCGAATTGATACTCTCTTTGGAGAGCAAAAGTGGCTTCTTTCTGTTAGTTGGCTGTCTCGTATAGAGTACTGTACATATGATATGAGAGTTCATAGCTTAGTATATATTGAATAATTTATTAGTATTAAACAATATGTACATATTAGAAATCAAATTAGTTAAACTATAAAGTAACAATAAACAATAACTTTGAATATAAAATAGTATAAATTAAATTATAAAAAGTATATAATTAAAAATATACTTGTACATACCAGCTTTTCCATAGAGGATTGCGCCCTAAAACATAACTGTTACCCCTTGAGCAAACTTTTGATAAATATTCTTTAGCTGATAGGCCCCACCAGTCTGATGGAGTACTCTACAGGCTCTGCGGGACCACAGATTTCCAGTCTCGAAATAGGACTCATCTGTGAAGATGATATTCCTTCAATTGTAATGATCTCTCTCTGGATAGTTAGTTCTTGGCGACGGGGAACGATACTTCTCTTTCTGTTTTCTTCTTTCTTTATCTTACGATAGCTCTAGGCCTCTGCCTACGTTACCGATAGTACAAGACCTTTGTCTTCTATCAGAAATGCCTATCGTAAGCTTTCTCTAACTTGTCTTCGTGAAGGACTTTTCTTGGCGTAGCAATAACGGTGCAATAAAGATAAAGATTATAAAGATATTTTATATTTGTTAAAGTAATAAGTAGGAAAAGAACTTAGAACAAAGCATGAAGAACCTATCTTCCTCGGCCCCCTCGGCCTCCTTATATAGTGTTCTTTCCGCTACTAGTCATGTGACCTAAAGTGGTCACATGTGCAAAACCAAATCATAACAAACTAGTCATGTGACCAAAGTGATCACATGCTCAAAATCCATAACCTCGTAACGAGGTTATGTGCAAAAAATCATAAACTAATCATAATGCAATAAACAAGTTGTAACCGGTACAGGTACTCGGTTATTGGTTTTGTTTTATGTTTTGTTTTAAGTATCGCTTTGATACTTGGTTTGTTTTAAGTATCGTTTGATACGTGATTTTGTTTTATGTTTTGTTTTTATCGCTTTGATACTTGGTTTTGTTTTATGTTTTGTTTTAAGTATCGCTTTGATACTTGGTTTGTTTTAAGTATCGCTTTGATACTTAAGGAGTTTTACCAAAGTGTATCGATTGATACCATTGATTAGTTTCGTTCATACTAGACATGAACAGATTTGTGTATTTAAAGACCGCCTGTTTCTGCGATAGAAAAGGCAGACTTCGACAGATAGTATTTCAATATACTTGGTTAAACGGTTACTTCTTTGTTCCTCAGTACACCCTCGAAGCCTCCTTTAGTTCTCAGCTCTCGCCTCCTCTCTGGTAGAGCAGGCCACCTGCCAACTATTGTATCTATTACTGATAATGTGAATAGCACCTTGCGAACACGTTACATTTTTTTAACATCAGCAAGTGGTTAAGAGCTTGTCCCCAGATTTAGGCCTGATCAACCTTTCGATATCCACCGGAATGCTAGCGGAGAGAAGCGGCAGAATCACGGCATATTTGGCTTCATCTCAAATCCAAGATAGAGTCTTTGACGACTAGGTGTGGGAAGCAGATCCCACAACAAGACCTTACAAGAAAGAAACAACCCCGGCGCTCTGCTAAAGAGCTGGGAGAACCCGCAAACACAGAAGATACACAACCCCCAGGAGAATTTCCTTCTACCCCAGCAAAGCAACCTTCCTTTGAACCTCCAATCGACCCCGAATCCAGTAGCGAATCAGATATGGCTAGTACAGGAGGAGGACCTTCAGGAGGAGAACTCTCTGGAGGAGGAAAATCTCGTGCTCAAGAAGAGGAAGTACCCACAGCTTTTGAACCTCCTAAGTTTAAACTCCACCTCCCTGCAAAGTTTACAGATGAAGGAAAAGACCTCAAACCCGAAGCCTTTGATCGATGGGTGGCAGAACTCTCACACTATCTTCTCCTGCAAGGGAAAGATGTGGAAGACCCTACGACCAGACTATACATTGAATCATTCTGCGAAGGAAAGGCAACCGATGCATACCACCAATACTATAAGGATTACGGCGGAAATCTGAGATTAAGAGGATCCACAGTCCTCGATTATCTGAAAGCATGTTTCCAGTCCTCTATCACCAACGATCTCTTATACAACAAATTCAACCAGCTCCAACAAGTTAATTGAACGCATGTTAAAAGGATTACAGATGTAGCCACAGATCTATTGATGTATAAGGACCGAAGGAAGGCAGGAAGCATCTCCAAATACATCCTTAAGCGACGATTCTATGATACCATGCATCCAACCCTCCGACAAGAGGTAGAACCACTCAAGGAAGACGATGACGATATGGCAGCAATAATTGCAGGAGCAGAACGGAAGGACGCCATTCTCTATGAGACCAAGGCATACAAAATACAGATATCCTCTAGTAGGAATAGCCAGCCATGGCACAAACCCTCTAGCAACTCTGGAGATGATAGCCCTCAGGTTTTCAAGAAGAAAACCAAATCCTCCAAAGAATCAAGATGGCAGAAAGAAGAATGTTTTGAATGCGGAAAAACAGGACACATGGCAAAGAATTGCCCTACGAAGAAAGGGAAAGGAAAGGCAATTAAGCAAGAGGCATCGACCAACAACGTTGAGAATGATAGTGATGATGCCCAATCCAGCGAATATGAGGAGATACATATCGGATATATCGATGTGGAGTGCAACAGTGTTGGACCTCCGGCTACATTTAAAGCACACACCACCCTGGAAGGTACTAATCTCATTAACAGCAAGAAGGCTCGAGTCCTGTTCAACACTGACGCGATTGGAAGAGACATGATCAGCAATACCTTTGTCTCTGTCCATGGACTCCCGACTCGAGACCTTAACCAACCTATACCAGTCAATATGGCAGTAAAGGGATCACGATCCACAAGCCATAAAACCTGTCGTGCAACTATTCGACTTGGTTCTGCTGTACTACCCCCCCAGGAAATGCTGGTTGGAAATCTAGCCAAATACAATACCCTAATAGGTATGCCATTCCTGAACCGCCACAAAGCTATAATCAGGTGTGGGGAATCAACCATCGATTTCCCAGATCAGAAGGTCAGAGTCTCATGTAAGCCAACAAGCGGAGAGTACCGAGCCGCAGTCTGTGAAGCAACTGCTCAATGACTATTGGATGAATACTCTGATGTTTTCCCTTATCAAATAC